CTTATTGCCCATCACTAATTGCTCTGAAGAGTTCAATCACATTGCTGTGGGTCTGAAGTCACATGTAGACCAGACCAGGTCAGGGTGGCAGATTTCCTTCCCTGAAGGGAGGGAACCAGCTGGGTTTTGGTGACAATTGACAATAGGGTTCATGGTCACCATTTCTGAGATTAGTTTTACATTGCCAGATTTCTTAATAACTTGTACCAAAACACACAAGTCAGGTATGTGATGGAGTATTTAATTTGGTTTATTATTGTCGCGTGTACCTAGCTTCAGTGAAAAGTTTTGCTTTGCATGCAGTATGGGCAGATCATCTTATACAAAGTGCATTAGAGTAATAGAACAGAGCGAGGAATACAATGTTATGGCTGCAGAGATGGAGCACAAAGAACGCGATCAACGTTAAATTTAAAATTTGAGACTTCCATTCAGAAGTCAAATAACAGCGGGGAGGAAGCTGTTCATGAATTTGGTGGTACGTGTGTTTAAGCTTTCATATCTTCTGCCCCTCAGAAGAGGTTGGAAGAGATTCTAACCAGGGTGGGAGAGTTCTTTGGCGATGTTGGCTGCCTCCCCGAGGCAGTGGGAAAGAGAGATGGAGTCAATGGATGGAAGGTTGGCTGTGTTCACAACCCTCTGTAGTTTCTTACAGCACTAGGCAGAGCATTTATCGTACCAGGCCATGAGGCATCCTGATGGAATGCTTTCTATGGTGCGTTTATAATAGTTGGTTGAGTCCTTACGGACATGCCAAATTTCCTTAGCCTCCTGAGGAAATGCTTTCTTGACTGTAGCCTGGATGAGTACAGCTCCAAAAACACATGAAAAATTGTCCAGGACAAAGTAGCGCGCTTAGCACCCCCATTCACTACCATTCTGCATCCATGTGTGGGATAGTGAAGTGGTACCATCACTGGGCTAGTAATCCTGAGTTAATGTAATGGAGGCATTGGGTTCTAACCTGACCATGACAGATGATGAAATATGAAATTCTGGAACGAAGTTTTAGTCTAATTATAACCATTGTTGATTTTTATTATTTAAATGGGCCTAGCTGATCTGCTCTCACAGAGTTGACACAGACACAAAGGACCCAATGGCCTCATTTGGTATAGTATCCACTCCGTGAGTTGGTAAACAGCTGCCCTGTTCTTGTGGTTGTGTCACTCTGTGTTGATCCTGTCTGATGCTGTCCACTTCTCTTAGACAGGAGAACCTTTCTCACTAGTTCCTTTGCTTTGCTCCCTCCTCAGACCTTCTGGCAGGACGTGGTTGGTGGCCATTCTGGCTCCTTTCCATTCTAAACTTGAGCCCAAGTGGTCATTCAACTGTGGGGACATCGCAACAAATCCAGCCTTTCCCCGAGGCCTAACTGCCAACAGGGATGACCGGATAGCACTGAATAACAGAAATCCTGAACAGCTAGCATTCTCTACCCCAGCCCTCTCTCTTCAACCCTGAGAGGCTTTACCTCTTGGTAGCCTCTCCCATCCAGACAGTTTAGAAGATCTGGGGAGATGGTGGTAATGAATGAGTAATCGAGAGGCCTTGGCCAATGCTTTGGCCATGTGGGTTTAAATCCCGCCATGGCAGCTGGTGGAACT